ACATTGCTACTGTATTAGCCATCCCAAAAGAAAGGGCTCCGAGCAGACCAGGCGAACGGGCTCAGATCTGCATGTCCTTTAGGTTTCACCTTAGGGAATCTCTGTACCCTTTCAGGCTTGGGCTCTCCTACAATTACATCCACAATTTTACCAAGACATCTGAGTTATATATGAACAGACATCAGCATGTCGAATACCACAATTGATTATTTAAAAATATAGCAGTTCACTGCCTCAAACGGGTTACTTATGAGAATCATGGATGTTATATGTTTGTAGATTTTAAAGTCCTTTTTCTTATATTTCTCTTAAGCCATCTCCGGAGATTTTTTTCTTCTTAGATTCTTATTCCTAATAATATGTCCTGCTTACTATTGTCCTATGTGTGTGTGTGCATATATCTCCATATATATGCACATACATATATAAGTACATATAGCGTGAGAGAGAGTACAGTGTGCCATGTGCCATTTAACTCTTAGTAGTTTTTAGTGGAAGTATAACGTAGTGTTTCCTTCCAGATATTTGCTGCGCCGTCATTTGATGACAAGATTCTGGAAGTGGTTGCCGTCTTTGACAGTGTCCAGATGGCAGTTTCCAGAGTCATTAAACTGCAGCACCATCGAATAGCCCAGGTGGGTTTCTGGCATCAAACGCGATGGCAGGACTTGAACACTTTGCATGTGCGTATGGTTGTGGGCAGCAGGAAGGGTGTTCCAAATCTCTCCAGCACCGCGTGTCCGTCTATAAAGCACTGAGCTTCTCTCCGTGTCCATTGTCACGGTTATGCCAGTGCCAAAGTGTGGCGTTCCACAGAATTCTTGCTGATGGCCGGTCCGTTTCTGCTTGTGGCAACCCCGCGTGTGCAGCATCGAGCTGTGCCAGGGGGCTTTCGAGGCTGTGGCCCTTCCAGAGCAGCTCACCGGGCCTCTCCTCCAAGGCACTGCCAGTGGATTCAACCGGCCCACCCATCAGCAGAGCCCCTTCCCCACCCACGGTCTCCTGGTCTACAAAAGAGACCGAGCCAAGGCCTGGGCCACTGCACTCGGGCCTGGATGCAGACGGACCGTCAGTGTTCAGGATGAGTTCTACCCCAGAACAACTTCAAAACTTCCCCCCTGTTTTTGGTCTTGTAGTGTCGCGCGGTAAAAATCACTATCTTTGGTGACGAGGGATTACCGGTTCAGGTGGA